GTAGAGTAACGCACAAGGCATTCCATCCCCAGCATTAAAACAAATGCAAATCATTTAAGTCATTGTAAAAAATGTTGAGGTTTAAAGCTCTTCTTTTTATTAAAAATGGTAATTTGAGGGGTTACTTTTAGTTGGTGGTCTTTGTATGCAATGAGTGTCCTTTATATAAGCCTTGATGCATCTTTGAGACTTGGCCTCCGGAAATAAACAGATCAGATTCATAGAAGCATGGGATATGATGTAGTCAGATGGTATGAAGCATAATCCAAGAAAACATACCAGCCCTCCCTTTTCTGCCCAGGGAGCATGCTAGAATTAAGCAGTTTCCTTCTAGTGACTGCAAAGAAGCACAAGTCCTTCCAAGCAGCAGACGGTAAATAACATTGTGCCCCGAGGAGGCCAGAATTAAAGGTTGAGCTGTTTGGTTACTGGAATATTTGACTTTTACTTGGGGCTGCAGAGGAGCAAGAAGAGGGACCATGTGTTTATGTGTTGGGTAAGCAGAGGAGCCACCACCTTTTGGGATGCTGATGAAGAATGACAGAAACAAGAAGCATTGCATTAGCTAGTCATATCACACTTTGGATGCTAAAGCAGATGTGAGTTTCCAAGTGCTAGAGGCTGTGATTATGGCCTGCATTTGGTCCCCAGTAATTCTGGGAGGGGAAAGTGAAGCAAGACCTCAAGTGCAAAGAACTGTTTGGTTACTGCCTGCTGTGTTGCCTTGCGCACTAGGAAATTGGGGTGAGTGGAAGAATCTCAGAAAGGAGTTTTGTTCTTGCAATGGCAAAAGGACAGCCAGTTAGGAAAACCTGTGGACATTTGAGATTTGCTGACCAAGTGAGGGGTTAAGTCTGGGGTGGAAAAGTAAAGCCCAGTGGGAATCTCCAGCTCAAAGCACCAAGAGGGCAGGTGGTAGCAGTGTTGGTGTAGGCAACTCCGCCCTTCTCCTCCTGTGGAAGTGTCTGCTTCCTTCTGTTTGTTCCCTTGCCCTTTCTCTGTTTGTTTTTCTTCTTTGTTTGTTTGTTTGTTCTGTTCTATTTTTGTTTTTGCAATGCTAGTGATTTCAGTCAGGACAGACTAAAATGAACTATGAATGACCTTTGACACATGGGTGGACTATACCACATGCATGTATTTAATATGTTATATTTCATGACTTATTTCAAACAGTGTCTAACTTGTATTAGGATCATCCACTGCAGGGCATTACATAGCAGCTAACCCTTTTCATTAGAGCATCTGCACATTTTTCTTTTAAATGTTCTTGCTCAGTGATATAGTCAAGAGGCTTATAGCCAGAATGCATTTGAGGATAAATGGTTTATCTTAATAGCTGGCAAAAATAGGGCAAATAATATAAACCAGGGCAGGATCGGGATTGAACTAGCTGGTGGCTAGCCCTCTCCCATAAAATGTGAGGGTTTACCCAGATTCACTTTTACAAAATTATTATCATTTGAAATATAATTGAAACTGAGAAATTAACTGTTTGTGCAGTATTTGCTATTTGGTTCTGAGCCAGTGTCTTAGGGCAAAGAATAATATCCTGTGTGTTAAATGATGCAGGAGGAAGCAGAGCTAAAAAGAGAGGAGGGGCCTTTGCCTCATTCGTTTCAAAGGTATATCCAGAGTTTGAACCACTTGAGTGCTTTAGAAATGTTTAATTCCAGGATCTAGAGCTGCATTTCTATAGGTAACGACTTTGGAGAATTGAGGAAACAAATAAGAACATTCAGCAGGATATTCTGAATTGTGGAAAGCAGTAACAGGGAGAGCAGTGTCTAAAATTGGGGTCCCTGATATGACTTTATGACTGTGCATACTTTACCTGGGAAAGTTTCTGTGCAAAGGTTCAGGATGCCTAGCTGCTGTGATAATGCCCTCCATGAGGAGGCTCTCTGCTAGAGTCTTATCAGCCTCAACCTTTGATCTCAGGCACACAGCTCCTGAGAATAAAGGAACTCTTTGCTAGACAACCACAATGTTTCACCAGCTCTGCAACTCCTGAACCTGCCTGCTCCTTTAAACAGTGGACTTTCTTGAGAGCTACACAAAGCTTCTAACATCGCACATTGCCACTGCAATGTGTAACTGAGGAATAAGCTACACAATGTTCATGAATACAAAGATTAATACTTACATAGTCTTTAATCTTGATTAAAGACATGTATATAATAAAGATTGCTGGTGTAAGTCTTCAGACCTGCTTCTCCAACAGAGAGCAGCGCTCCACCCAATCCCAGCTGTTTATCTTCAAGATCTCTGAACATAAGACTTTATTCTTTCAAACTCCCATCACCCCCTCATCAGAACCTGCTAGTTCAGCTGTGCTGTTTACAGCATTAAATTCTCAACCCTGACATCAATTGGTATAAATTGTGAGAGTCTTAAGCTATTTTCCGATTTTCTTGGCCTTTGGAGAGCTTGTTTTTCTATTCCTTGGGATGCTTCTTTTCTTTTTACCTATTCTGAACTAATCACTAGCTTCTTGAAAAATGAGTGTAGTGATGATTACCATTACCCATATTTTACAAGAAACCCATGCAGCATCCAGAATAAATAATTAAAACAAGGGAAAAGGGGCTGGGGGGTGTACTTGGTATGTATGAGGCCCTGGGTTCCCTAAGGGGGAAAAAAAGGATGACTCCCAGAGGTGAACTTACGTTATAAAAACAATGTTCCATGTGAATCACAATGTTAGTATTGAATTATTTTGTCCCTTTTTCCACTTCCATCATCATAAAAAAGAAGTTTCTTTTGAAGAGTGTAGGTGTGAGGAAGAAGAGATACTGTGTTAAATTACGCTATGCAAGAAAGGGCTTCAGAAATTGGCCGTTAACCTCCTTATTAGACCAAACTAGAATGTTGTTAGATTAGAAGCTCCACATGACAGGACTCTCTTATTTAATAATATTCTACTAGTAAGGTTTTCCATTGTTGTTTAGCAGCCAGTATTATATGGATTCCCTTTCCAATCATAGTAGTCCCTGAGATCAATACTGAACATTTAGGAGCCTCTTTACAAATTCTCTAGCTGGTTATCAAGGGGTTAAGATCAGAGTTTCAATGGTATCTTCCATTTTGAAAGTGCAAGTTCCTAAACTGCCTTTCTTCTTGTGGTTCCTAATGTTACAAGGTTTAGCTTTACTCTCACTTTTAAATGGGTTTTAAAAAAAAAAAAAAAAAAAAAAAACTGCCATTTGGGTCTCGGTTTTTTGTTCTTTTTTTTTAGGTACTGGGGATTGAATCCAGGGACACTGTACCACTGAGCCACAGCCCCAGTCCTTTTTATTATTATTTTTATTTATTATTTTTATGTGTTGCTGAGGATGGAACCCAGTGCTTCAAATGTGGTTGGCAGGTGCTCTACCACTGAGCCATAGCCCCAGACCCTTATTTTTTATTTTGAGACAGGTTCTCAGCAAGTGCTTAGGGACTAGCTAAGTTGCAGAAGCTGCCTTTGAACTTGTGATCCTGCCTCAGTCTCCCAAGCTGCTGGGATTACAAGTCCATGCCATGTGCACAGCTCATTTACATTGTTAGTATAAAATTTATTTTTTTAGAAAAATGTGTCTAGGCCTGGGGTTGTAGCTCAGCAGTAGAGCACTCATCTCATATATGTGAGGCACTGGGTTCAGTCCTCATGTAAAAATATATAAATAAAAATAAAAGGCATTGTGCACATCTACATCTAAAAATATTATAGAGATATTAAAAAAAGAAAAAGAAAAATGTGTCTAAACAAACTTTGTATTCTCTAAAATAAGATTTCCCAGTATATATGCATCTCCTAGACCTCACCTTCAATCCCCCAGAGACTTTGATACTTTTTCACCTTTCTTTGCATCTATTTACATTCTTTTATTGCTGAATATTACCAATGGTAACACACATATTCTTTTCCTGGTTCTTAAAGCTAAAAATCAAGAGTGATTTGAGATGGAAACAATGTCTGGTGTGTGCAACTCAGGCTGCTTTTCCTTAGTCTCTTGTCTTCCAATTCAAAGTAGATGGGGAGTGCATAGGGGTTAAGGCTGTGGTTCTCTGAGAGTCTGATTAAGACTGTTGATTCTTCTCTGGCTAACTATCAAGAGCACTCTACTTTCTGAACACACACTCTGGTGTGCCCCTAAAGATATGAGACAAAGGTGAGGCCATACATGAGGAGAGGGAAATACTAATTGCATTAAGGTATAATTAGAATAGTAATCAGAATGGCTTTCATTTATTGAGTCTTTCTAGGTTCCAGGCTTTTTGCCAAAATCCAGTCTCACATAATAATGCTTAATCCTACTAGCTGTACTGAGCAGTATTATGTGTCTCTGGCAGATGAGGAAACATGGCCTTATGTTAAGAAGCTTTCCCAAGCTGATGTGAATAGCAGGAGCTGGAGCAAACATACAAACTCAAGTCTGTCTGGGTTTATCTGGCTTGGGGTGGGAGATATGTTTGTGCAGATAGAGGACCTCTCGTGAAGAAAAGACTTTTTGGCATAATCCTTCACTTTCAGCTGGGGTAGGATCCTGATATGGATTGCAGCCTTACATTTTAGGTTACAAAAAGAAAAGTAGAGGCCAAAAAAGGGATCAGGGATTGGGAAAGCTGATCACTAGCTCAGCATATTCAGCATACAAACACACACAGTGCATCGTTTAACCTCTGAATTCTTGGTTTGTCTCTGTACAATAAAGGTTCAATTATCCATGTTAATGGAGGGAAGCCAATTGTGAATAACTCTAAAGAGCCAGTAATCTAAAGAGCATTTATGTAGCAGTTTGCCATTTGTATGTGACTTCTTTAAGGTAGATTTATTTTTCTAAATTCATTTGCTTAGTCATCCCGAATAGTAATACATTGACCTATCCCATGAGCAAAAATCAAAGTGAATTATCTATAGGGGAATATTGGACACTTAATTCTAGAGGAAAGCTTTTAATTTTAAACATCCTCAGACATACTGACAACTTTTCTTCTTTTTTTTTTCTCAATTCATTTAGAATGTATGCTGTCAGGAGGATAAGAGATGCCTTCAGAGAAAATAAAAATGTAAAGGATCCTGTAGAAATTCAAAACCTAGTGAATAAAGCCAAAAGAGACCTTGAAATAATTCGTCGACAGGTAAGATGGTTCAGTATACTGTTTTCATTAAAAGCCTTCAGCTCTGACATTTCCCCCTTGATTGGACATCACCACTTTCAGGTTTATGATTTACACTGTAGGATCATGAAACTCTATCCTTTTTTTTTTCCCCTGTCCTCTTTTTTTCTAATACAGGCATAGAAAAACGAGCTATCATATTATCAAATTCAAGGACAAAATAAAAGCATTAGCTTTTCAAAATTTTCAGGGACTGCATCCTTCTGGAAAATTAAACTCTCATAAACTAAACGTTGGAAGTGTGATAAATTTCAATATAATAACTTTTTTAAAATTAAAAGTCTTTGTAAGATATATTATAGATATATATGTGAACTTATGTCAGGGTATAAACATCTCCTTTTCTAGTATTTATCATTATAATTCATGATGAATAGAATAGATGATGAACCTGAATTACGTTGCCAGATGGAAGGTGCATCTGCAGGTGCACAAGGTATGGAGCACAACTGGTGGGGGTGCAGACCCCTTAAAAGACCCTGGAAGGTGTTTTTGTTTTCATTTTGTACAAGATCCGGGGATCAACTTGCAAGGATTGCTTTTTTAGAAAATTTAATGAGGTGGGTGGAGCACTTATGGTAGCCTGTCTTCTCAGGAACTATTAGAGAGTCAAAGGTTAAAGTAGCCTTCTATTGATTGATTTTCTCAACCTGTAATAAAATTGCCCTTTTCACTGTTTTTCTTTAATTTAGCAATAGTCACACCATAAATCTCTTCGTTTTCACCCCTACTTCTCTCTTACTTGTGGTAAATGTGTTTATACAGTGTATGGGGGAACACATTACCATTTTCTTAAGTTCTGCTAGTGTTTTAGAAAGTGTTTGGCTGACGTTTCATCAGACTCTTCCCTTTCCTTGACCCTTCTTCATGCATAACTCAAAATAGAATTCAAATAAGCAAGAGTAAAAAACTATAGTTTTCATTTTATGACAAGATTAAGTCTGGTTCTGTTGGCTTCATAATGGAACAATCCCTTCTGGATTAACATTTCAGATTCTGGTAGTTCTCCTTGATGTCTGCAGTTATCTAGCATTGGAATAACTTTGCCACATTCAAACAAGTATGGGAAATGATCATTAACTAAAGGCATGAAAAGATAATAGGGTAGTTAGAAAAAGACTGATCTGCACATTTATGTGTACTTTGAGAATGGCAGATAAGTGAGTCGCCAATTGGAAAACTCCAGAATGATGGTATTTTCCAGTCACCAGCAGTTCAATTTCATGGGATCCTTTAGCAGTAAAATTTAGGAAAACAAGCAGCCTGAGTCTCTATTTTACATAAACTCAGAAAGATTCAGTTCTTTGGCACTTTCTCTGTGTAGAAATTGGCAAGCATTTCCAAAACAGACTGGTTTTATCTTTAGTCTAAAATTACTTAGAATATAAACTGCTTAAAAGAGGGGGCCTGTAAATAATCTGTGCCACCATTTCTTGTGTTATGTCTAATTGTCTGTGTCATTTTTTGGTTTGAAAAGCTTTCTTTTTCTTTCAAAACAAACGAACAAAAAAAAGAGTTATAGCCCAGTGGTAGAGCATTTGCCCCAGCATGCAGGAAACCCTGGTTCTATCCCCAGCACTGGGGGAGGAAAAAAAAGATTGTGGCCATCATCCAACATCCCCAGTGAATCCACACTGAAAACAGATGGAAACATTATTGCAGCAGCTAGAGAGTGAGTAGAGTGAGGGTGCCCTCCCCAGGACAGCGGGGCGACTGCACCTTCCTGATACACTACCTAACTTGCAGGCCCAGGGTTTCCAGAGTGACCTTCTAGGAGCGAGGTACCACTTTCTCATAGAAGCCCTCATTCTATGGGAGAACTACTTAGCCAGTTAGACTTCAGCTGGTGGGTAGTTTTCTACTCACTTCCCATTCACGTCAAGTCTTGTAACTGCAAATTTTACCACAGTTAGTGTATGGGATATGGTAGATTTCCTGAGACACCTCACTGCGAGCTGGACCAAAGGCAAAGGTATGTTGTTTAATGTCCTTGCTGCTGACTTCTGTAGTTATCGTCTAACTTGCTTCACTGTTTCCCCTGCTGTGTTCTGTTCATAAATAGCAAGAATGATCTTTAAAAAAAAAAATAATAGAATCTGATCACTTCATTCTCCTGCTCGGCCCCTTTAGGGGCTTCATAGCACCTTGACAAGAAAAACTGAACTCTTTGTGAAATCTTCTGAGGCCCTGCATTACTCTGGTCTCTCTCCCTCCCTCACACAGTGTCCATTATCTTCTTGTTGGCCCTGGTGCACACCCAGCTCATCCCTTCTCAACCTTCTTCAGAGGTTCTTCACCTGAAGGAGACACTCCCGAGACTCTTGCCTGGCTCTCCCTGACCACACTATCTTAATTAAACAGCTGCCCTCTCGTGCCCTGCATCACTTTTCCTAACAGCACTTATCTGTACCTAAAACACTACTGCTCGTTGCCTTATCCATTTTCTCCCTTCCCCATGAGACAGTAGCAGGTGTAAGGAAGGGATCTAAGGGTCTGGTGAGCAAAAACATGTGCTGTGAGGCTTGTGTTCCAGTCCTGACTCAGCTATTTGACCTTGAGCAAAATATTTGATTTCTTAGTGCCTAATAAAAAAAACAAATAAGGATAGGGAATTGTGGTAAGGATCAAATAGGTTAATGTATGAAAAGCCCTAAAATGATATTGGTGGCACATAGTACACTTTGCAAGTATTTGCTGTGATTACTCTACAATCTCTAGAACTGCAAAGTGCTGGATGCTCAAGGGAGTACAGGCAGGGTTGTCCTGAGGTCATATACTTCAGTCAGAGGGGCTGTGCCACCAAAGACCTGGTGTCTTTTTGGCCACTTAGTCCCTCCTGGAGGAATAAACTGACAGGGAAACAGAAATCTCTTGAGGATCCTGACCTATCACCTTCAGGAGCTGTGATTTTCTTCCTTTCAAGCCCCTCCTCTGCTGGAGCTTTTGGACCAATCCCAGCTTTACATTTCTGTAAACAGGAAACCAGCAGCCACTGTCCAGCTACCACACTCCTACATCATCAAAGCAGTAGTCGGAAATCCTCCATCTTCTGTACTGAAACCGCCCTCTTTGCTTTCTCCTTGTGCTTTAAAGTACAGCTTCTTCAGTCCCTTGACTCATCTCTGGTGTGTGAAACCACCATAACCTGGTACAGTGGTGTAGTTTTTGTTTTGTTTTGGGTTTGTTTTTGTTTTTGTTTTTTATGGTACTGGAGCTTGAACCCAGGGGCACTATACTGCCACTGAGCTACATCCACATTTCTTTTGAATCAGGGTCTCTGTACATTGCACAGGCTATCCTTGAATTTGCAATTCTCTTGCCTCAGCCTCCCAAATAATGGGATTATAGGTATGTACCACCATGCCTGGTAATTTTGGCTGTTTTTAAAGAAGTCTCTGAACAAAAACATTCTTCTGGTTTTCTGGGTAGAGAAGCTCAGGTTCAGGAAAAAGAGCTCAAATCTTCTAATTCCTTGGAGCACATTCAGAAGTTCAAGGTCACAAGGTCACAAGTTCCTAAGTTAGTAAAAGTTGAAGGATAAAGTTATTTTTAAGCCATCCTCCCATTTTTTTTCCCCAAGATATTTAAGAACCTCATCAATGGAGCTTAATCTCTCCTCAGAGGTCATTCATGCTTCCTTCATATCCCTAATGTGCAAGATGGTAAATCTGCATCGGCTGCCCTGAGGAGTTCTAGATAGCATCAGTATTTCTTGGGAGCCTTTGCACAGCTCCTAAAAATTACTCTCATTTCACGATATGGCTAGCTGGTTTTCTTTCCTAGTGAGCAAGTCAGCCTTCTTTTGCTTTTCTCCATACTTAGGACCAAACATGTACTTGTTCTTTCCTTGATGTTCTTGGACATTACAGTCTGATATGTCAGTAGCAAATCTGTTCCAGTTACATGCATCATATCCCAGTAGACCAGTAGAGACATTCTTCTACCTTTCCATAAGCTTCTATTATTTCCACAAAAAAATGGTTCTGGAAAAACAGGCTGACCCTGTCAGCATTTATGGGTTTTCCCCTCTGCTGAAAGCAAATTCTGGACTAGCCCCTGCTAAACCTAGATTCCCTATCTGTTCTCCAGCTGTGATCAAAAAGGTTGGGAGCCCTTTTGTATATGGGCCAAATGAGGACAGACAGTAACTTGACTGTGTGTGGTTAGGCAAATAGATCTTGAGCAGTCTAGGCAGTCTAGGAACAAAGAAGTACCTAGTTGGTGTCTCCCTGAGACGGGAAGCAAGGCTTTGTAGGTCTTCCACATCAGACAGAGAAGCAAGGAAGCCAGCCAGATCTTGTCTTTATCCTTTGTTCAGCTTCATTGTCTAGGAGAATTCCTTCTGTTTACAGGCATTAGTTAGAATTGCTGTGAGTTAATTACCCCAATTCATTACAGCCCTGCAGTTTGCCACTTCTCTATGGGTTTTTTGCTTGTTTGTTTTTGTTTCTGTTTTTGTTTTTAACACTTCTTGGTTTTTTAACCACCATAGTGTACCTATGTGTCACTACTTCCCTTGTGCTAGTGCCTTGCTCCTCTAAGTGTCTTCAGAACAACTGCAGCATGTAACATAACTGGGCAAAAGTTTAAGTGCATTTATAGTTATCTGATGCCACTAGGGGTCATAAAAGTGAAATGACCCTTCAGTTCTTCCAGGTTCTCAAATAGTAGCAAACCTAGTGTAACCGAAGTTGTTTTGTGTGCCAGAGGTGGACAGAGTGTACTTCATAGACCATTTTCATAGTATGGTCAGCCAGGTGAATCCATAAACTTTAGAAAAGAAAAAATCTTCTGTATGAAAAGGTTCCTGGCCAATATGTAGGCTAGTGAATTTAGCACTGTTTATATCCAAATAATGTTTGATTACACTACCAAAGACAAGAGGCTACTAAGATATGTGTTTGATAGAAAATAGAAAGGACTCTATCCTGCAAAACAAGGTTCTCTCTTACCCAAGTATT